CGCTTGGGGTAGAAGGTTGTAGATCAGCTTGGCGGTGCAGTTCAACATAGGTCGGAAAGGTGCCGTGAAGAAGCTGACAATGGGTCGCCCGGCCTTGAACTGTTTCTTCCGTTTGGGTAGAACATAGGCATTCGGTAGGTCTCGTCCAGCACCAAGTGCCCATGGGTATGCTTTGCCAAATTGGCGGTTGATCTCGGCGATAGTCCTCTCGATGATGTCACTCGGGCTTTGTTCCAACTTGCGAAATACCAACGGGTCGGCGAAGGTGGTGGTGAGGCACTGGAAGTAGAGTACGGGGCAGTAGATTCGTAGGGATGTAGCTCGCTTGTCCTCATTGTGGAAGACGGCTTCTGGAAAGAGACGTTTGAAGCGGCCGATGTCTTTGTGAGTGATGTGGTTGTTGAGGGTGTGGTAGTGGGATTGAATAGAACGGTGCCAAAGCTCATCAATATGGGACTTTTGTAAGGAAGGGAGCGAGTTCCGGGTAGTCCACGTCCGCAGAGCCAGGCGAAGCGATGTCTGGATTTCTTTGGAAGGTGGGAAGATTTTGTTTTGAAGTGAACCAGTCGCAATGGATGTGTGTGGGCCATCATCAAAATGTAAGTTGTCGCCGTCCAGGACCAAGTGGTGATCGGGTTGGGGAACATGAAGGGCATGAGGTCGCAAGGCATCACAGGCACACTTTGGGGTTTCGCCATCAGCCCATTTCGTAGCGGCCTCTTTGTGATTGCACAAGCTATCCATCACCGAGGGGAACTTTGTGAAGACAATCGCCGTGGAAGGAGTCTGCAATGTGGTGTTGTAATGTCGAGTTTGATGAACGTGGAAAGTGAGGAGCCGTCGAAGGTCCCGAGTCCAGTTGGGGCATAGTAACCAAGGTGCACGAAGAGGAACCGGTTTTCTGACTCGTTTGGCCTTCCAGAAGGTCAAAGCTCGGTCAATGGCATTGATGGCGTACGACCTTTGGGGTTCTCCTAGGTTGTTGGCAAGACGTCGAATAAAATAGCATCCTTGGGCTCCAATTTCGTTAGATCGGAGTTTCTTCTCCATGTGGAAGCGTCGGACGGAGTTACTGCCCAAATCCTGAATAATCTGCCAAAGTTGTACTCGTCGATGGAAAAGAGGACTATGAAGAGCATGTCGAACATGATGGGGTGTAGATCGCCAGCGAAGTTTCCGCCACAAGGAAAATGCTCCAAATTGTCGGGAGGCGGAAAATTTGGTACGTGCAATGAGTCCCTTTCGGCAATTGAAAAACTGGTAAATGAACGGAGTGTTCAATCGAGGTTGCCACAATTGAATTAAGGCCTGTTCCAAGGCCCAAAAGTTGGATTTATTGGTGTAGATCGGGAAAACAGACCACATCCAGAAATTGTCAAATCTGCACCAAAACCGTAAGGCAACTTCGGCCAGCACGAATTTATGTTGTTGCACTTGCAGAAATTTCCGATAGCGAGAGTGTTCGCGGTCCAAAACAAACGAAGAAGTGGAACCAACATAAAACTTGGGTTGAAAATTAGCAATGTGGCAAAAACGAATATACACCGCCTGAGGGTGCTTGAAACATTGGAGGGCGACTGACAAGTCATCCCAGGATCTGCAAAAGAAAATACTCTGCATCGGAGTGCCTTTGAGCAAGGCTTGGAGTTTCGGATTGGCCCGTGGATGTAATAACACATATTGGCCCATCAGTACCGTTTGGAGCATCCGAAAAGCAAAAAAGACATCAACAGAAGGGGACAACGTGAATGGAGTCAATAGTGCAAGAACAAGAATACAGGAATGAGCCACGGCCAAAGTTCGCATAATGTTGGCTGCTTTTGAGCCAGGTGATTTCAAATACGCTGCTAGTCAGGAGTGCATCAATAACGCCACAGTCATGACCTTGAGGACGACTTCATCTGTGGAGGCCCCTTTGTGCTTGCATGGGTCGATACCCATAGCCACGCTTGCGCGTTGGATAGTTTTTGAAGCATCATCGGGTTGGTTTTGCCACCATTCGTTGACCTTTTCCAAGTTCTTCTCCAGGATGTCCTGCTTGGGCTGTGGTAGCTTCAGGGCTTTCACCCACTTTCATACACACACATACATACATACATACATACATACATACATACATACATACTTACTTACATACAGACATACATACATACGTACCATACGTACATACATACATACATACATACATACATACATACATACATACATACATACATACATACATACACACATACATACATACATACGTACATACATACAGACATTCACACATACATACATACATACATACATTACATTACATTACATTACATTACATTACATTACATACATACATACATACATTACATACAAACATACATACATACATACATGCATACATACATGAACCATACATACATACATACATACTTACTTACTTACATACATACCTACGTACATACATACATACATACATACGTACCATACGTACATACATACATACATACATTTACATTACATTACATAACAGTACATTACATTACATACATTACATACCATACATACAGACATGCATACATACATACATACATACATACATGCAGACATGCATACATACAGACATGCATACATACATACATACATGCATACATGCATGCATCCATACATGCAGACATGCAGACATGCATACTTGCATACATGCATACATGCATACATCCATACATGCATACATCCATACATCCATACATACCATACATACCATACATCCATACATCCATACATCCATACGTTATATAACCTTACATTACATTACATTACGTTACGTTACGTTACATTACATTACATACATTGCATACATTACGTACCTTACATACATTACATACATTACATACATACACTACATACATTACATACATACATACATACATACATACATACATACATACATACATACATACATACATACATACACTACATACACTACATACACTACATACATACATACATACATACATACATACATACATACATAACATGCATACATACATACATACATACATACACACATACATACATACATACGTACATACATACAGACATTCACACATACATACATACATACATACATGCATACATACATGCATACATACATACATACATACATACATACGTACCATACGTACATACATACATACATACATACATACATACATACACACATACATACATACATACATACGTACATACATACAGACATTCACACATACATACATACATACATACATACCTACGTACATACATACATACATACGTACCATACGTACATACATACATACATTTACATTACATTACATTACAGTACATTACATTACATACATTACATACCATACATACAGACATGCATACATACATACATACATACATGCAGACATGCATACATGCAGACATGCATACATGCATACATGCATACATGCATACATGCATGCATCCATACATGCAGACATGCAGACATGCATACTTGCATACATGCATACATGCATAGATCCATACATGCATACATCCATACATCCATACATACCATACATACCATACATCCATACATCCATACGTTATATAACCTTAGATTACATTACATTTACGTTACATTACATACATACATACATACATACATACATACATACATACATACATACATACATACATACATACATACATACATACATACATACATACATACATACATACATACATACATACATACATACATACATACATACATACATACATACATACATACAGTACATAAGTACATACATACATACATACATACATACATACATACATACATACATACATACATACATACATACATACATACATACATACATACATACATACATACACACATACACACATACACATACATACATACACATACATACATACATACATACATACATACATACATACATTAATTGCAAGCATAACATACATTACATACATTGCATACATTACATACATTACAGACATTACAGACATTACAGGCATTACAAACATTACAGACATTACAGACACTACGGGCATGCCACACATGCCACACATGCCACACATGCTACACATGCCACATATGCCATACATGCCACACATCTCACACATAGCAGACATAGCAGACATAGCAGACATCGCAGACATAGCAGACATAGCAGACATAGCAGACATAGCAGACATAGCAGACATAGCAGACATAGCAGACATAGCAGAGATAGCAGACATAGCAGACATTCCTTACCGTACCATACCGTACCATACCATACCATACCATACCATACATACATACATACATACATACATACATACATACATACATAGACGAGTTATGAGTAAATTTACGGCCAGCACTTGTGCTTGACCAAACTCTTGGATGATTGTCGGGAACCTCGTTTTTGGTGACTTTTACAGTACTTTGTGGCCTTCCACTATGTTGGGATGATCTAGATGTCCCTCACGTGGTTCATGGCCCTGAGCGGGGAATCGGCTGATTTTCAAAAACTGTTTTCGGCCCCTTTTACATAAACCCTAAAGAAGACCCACCAAAACCCTAGGAACAACCCTAAATTAACCCAACATGAACCCTAAAGAAACCCTAAAGAAACCATGCAAATACCATATGAAAGTGTGTATATATATATATATATATCGTGAAGTACCTGTGGGGCGTAGCGCATGTGCTGCGGGTAAATTTAGTGGTGCCCTTCATGGGGAACAGTAGATGCCCATTTCGCATGAGTCCACGATTTGTTTGGGGGCAAGTTACCTCCAAAGATCTTTTTACTATTTATATTCTTCATATCACAGAACCGGCCTACTGCGTTTTTTGGTTGAGATAACTCATTACAAGAACTCTTACATAATTTATCATAACTGATCATCATTTACCATCATTTACCATCATTCATTTACCATCATAATGTTATTACCCCATCTTCTCATTCCTTTGGGACTAACCCACGGCACTGACCGAGGTTTCCCACGCTGGAGCAACAAAACGCCACGGCCACCGGCAGCGGTGAGGCTGCCAACCCCGTCGGAAGCGGCGAGGCTGAAGAAGCTGCGGAGGAAAACGTGGAGGTCCAGGTGGTATCTTTCCGCAGCCACCTGGATGGGTTGGTGTTTTTTTTTTGGATGTTTGACTTTTTCCGAAGCCACCTGTTGACATGTTCTGACTGGTGCTTTGGAATATTTTTTATTTTTCCATATTGGGAATAATCATCCCAACTGACTTTCATATTTTTCAGAGGGGTTGAAACCACCAACCAGTGTTTGATGTTTTTTGTCGCTGTTTCTTTTGGGGTGAATACACCTGGATTGGGGATACTGAGAAAACATCGATACAGTTGATCTACGTGTACATATATATATATATGTATATATATATATTCATACACGTCATTTTTTGAACGATGTCTAGATTATCAATACACAAATGTGTGTATATAATATGATATTATTACAAATGTATATATATATATGATATGCATATATATATATATACATACTGTGTATACATATATATAGTACATAGACATTTTTTGTTTGGGTCCCTAAAACAAATCCAAGGCAATGACAATGTGGATGACGGGATTCACACGGGATCCTTTTGACGAAAAGTGACCCCGTGGATGACAACATGCGCGGCAGTACTTCCAAGAAGTAGGCTGCCGCAGCAATGCGCAGAATTCAGAATAACCGGTTGGTGCTTCAAGATGGTTCGCTCATGGATGTAGAAGTTCTATGTGAAAAATTCCGAAAAATCTCCCATCCCTATATAGGAAGTTGATCAGTTTTTTTAAACGAGGATGCTCTCTCGATCGGGTGAAGCACCACAACGGTGTTTGCAATTTTGCAACCTTGGTCCCTTCCTCAGGATGAAGGCCATCCGTTTCATGATCCATGGGTGTCTGCGAACAACTCGCAGAAGCCAGGGCGCTGCATTCGAAGTCTCTTTGTGCACTCAATGCTTCGATGGGCCGAAGATTTTGCTGAGCCATCAATTATCGCAGATGCCGAGGCAGATTATTGCTGAGCAAACTGAGCCCATTTAAGTCGACAGCTTGCGATGTATAGTTGAGGATGTTTCAAGCAATGATAATTCGCGGAGACTTTTTCAAATACGTTCGGACGTGTGTGGTTTTTGTGGCATATTTGCTATGGAAAAGCTACTCACAACGGGCGAGAAAGTGCTGTCGCAGCCATGTGATTGGTTACAGAGATGCACCTCCTTAATGTCCCTGAGTTATACTTGGAGTTTTTTTTGGTTAGATTAATGGTTAGATTTTTGGGCCGTGGTTTTTTTGCAGAGAGAAGCCCACGAAGCCAGAACTCTGAGGCAAAGGATCGATGTTGGAACGGTGGTTTGGCTTCTTGGCGTGGCAGTTCCGTTGGATAAATGGGACAAACGGACAACCCCCCGACCAATGGCTCAGCAGTTGAGAGGGATCCGCATACGAAACGACACTAAGCCTGACTATTGCTAGGGGATTGTAAATGATATATATATATATATACATATGTCAGTATATGTCTGTAATGGGTATATAATGTAAATTATAATACTTCATGGTATATATTATATATTACATACATTTACATACTGAGTATATTTCCTGGGTACGGTACGACCAGAAATGGGATAGTCCGATTGGCCAAATCTTACCCCAAGCACCTGAGGTTCCCTCCCATTTTTGCCATCCGGTTCTAATCTTAGAAGATATTCGAATTTGCCAGAAACCCGCCAGAGTGTTGGATATATATATATATATTAATATGGTATAGTACATAATATATGTATATATATACATATAACATACAGTATATATATATTGCAGTACATATCATATATATATATATATATTACATATCATATATGTATATAACATGTCATATCATATACATATATATATATATATTACAGTATATATATATTACATATCATATATATATATATTACCGTGTATATATATATATATTACATATCATATATATGTATATTACAGAATATATATATTACAGTATATTACAGTATATATACTATATTATATTACCAGAAAATAATATGTAATATATACTATACATATGCTATATATATATATATATCAATGTATGTATGTATGTGTGTATATATATATATATTGACATATATACATATACAAAGATATATCGATATATACATACATATATATATATACATACATGATATGTAATGCAGATATATGTATATATATACCTGTTGGATATATATACCTGTTGTATATATATATATACACACTGTAATATGTAAATACATTTACAGTATGTAGTGTATATATATACATACACATGTTGTATCTATATTTTAAATATACATAATAAATATGTAGTGAATATATACATGGGATATAATTGATACACTGTCAAGTTAATATTGATAAGCGCCCCCGAATTAATCTTGCCACCCACATCCCCCGAAAAACATGGCTTGATACTAATTTGGGTTGGTCTCTGCCTATTAATCATTATTCAACATGGGTGGTCACCCTCTATTCAGCAACACCCTTCTGGAAAATCCTATGTTTATTGGTGGTGAGAGTACTTTGAAATGAAATCATTCACTCATCACAGCTTGCAAACTCACACTCATTCCACAGAATCCCCAAAATCTACGAAAATCCCACAATTTCCGGTTGAAAAACCATGTATGTTCCTTTACTTTCTTATTCAACAATTGCATTTGAAAAACTCATAAAAGGTACCCCTTCAGGTGGGTTGTCCCCCCCAAATAATGTGCTTGTGCACCCCCACTAAAAGAACACCCTCAGCCCCCCTGGCCTCATGGATTTAGACCTTCTGAGGGGTGGTTTATACGAACTTGGCATTACCCTCTGGTAAACATACAATATTCATGAATCAGCTGGATCCACCAGGTGAGAATATATGAAAATATCAGGTGACATGTTCAAGTTGGTGAAATATTGTACCCCCTGGTAAACGTTTACAAAAAACGAACTGGAAAGATCCACCATTTTGAATGGGTAAATCCACGAACTAAATCACCATTTTCAATAGCTTTTTGTTTGTTTACCAGAGGGTGACCCATGACAAGCCATTCCTTATCAAAATAGACTTCTGAAAGCCTCATCGCCAGGTGGAGATTGGACTGTGCAGGAGAGCGAAAAGCTGGGACATGCAGTTCGCATTGACCAGGAGCGAACGGATGAAGCTGGTGAGTTTCTCCAATGGGGAAACGCCCCTCTGGCAAACGTTTACATAGCTATTGAAAATGGCCCAGTCGAAATAGTTGATTTTCCCATTAAAAAAGGTGATTTTCCAGTTCGCTATGTTAGTGTTTACCAGAGGGTTTCACATTTTTTTGAGATGTGAAGAAGCCATCATTTCTACACATCTTCCGAAGGGGAAACATATAGTTCGGTTTTCCACATACCGAACCAAACATGTTTGCCCAATCGGGATTGAAACCATGGGGATATCCTGGTTAAATCCTTGGTATGGAATGGGATATCCGGGATATGAATGGAAGATGGGAACAAAAAACAATCCTTTGTGCCATCGTTGCCATATGTTGCCGCGGGAAAATCCACCAGCTAAACCAGCAAACTCAACCGGGAAACTCAACTGATCTTGGGGACGAATGATGATCTGTGGATGAGGCTACCCTATTTTCAAAGCCATGTCCTGTTTATTTGTTTACTTGGCAAAGGGGCTTTACATAGAGGGCCGCGGGGCTTGTACGGGACTTGCGACTAGCTTCTCTTGGTTGACTTTCGAGTTGTGACCTTAGACTTCACAAGGTGGTGAAGTTGGTTTATAACCATAGTAAGTATAGATATATCTACCATAAACCATAGTCTTTGGAGTTATAAACTAACTTAGCTAACTATGGGACACCACCTTGCATGTGATTTTCATGGTATTGACTTTACTTTACCTGGTTTTAAATGATATGACACGACAGAACTCTATTCATTGTGTGACCTTTCATCACAATGACATGCAAGTACCCTGCATGACTTTACCCGACAAGACGTTACATTACAAGACATGATGTGACATGAAATGACACCACATGATAATCATGTTAGGATTTCCCGCACATTTTCGCAATCAACCCATGAAAACAGCAACACATATTCATCTCAGTTCATCCGCTGGTTGCTAACCATTCTGGATAAACTATATAACCATATATAACCTATGACCGTCAACAGGTTTTTTCATCCCAAGCCTTTTCTTCGCACGGAAACCGCAACCGGTGCTTCACCAATGGTGAAACCGGCCTCGAGGCCTCCAAAACAAGCCCAGATCTTGAATCCATTTCATCCATTTTAGGGAAAAAACACATATCCACTGGGTGTGTGTTTTAATAGAGACCCCCCAAAAAAACACCATTCAATATCTATGAATATCTAGATATTCCCTTCATATTCTACATGTTTTTCCATGAGATCCCCCCAAAAAAGTCGACGCCTTTCCAGGACTCCGAGACCTTTGCCTCCGTGCTGCAGATCCTGCGCTTTCACCGCATCTTCGGGTGCGGCGATGTGCGACATGTGATGGCCATGGGCCATGAAGTATCATTAATATTAGTTAATAAGTATTATATAGTATATCATGGGAGATAATATAGTAATTAGTATTAGTATATAGTTAATATATATAGTTAATTAGTTAATATATATATAGTTAATTAGTTATAGTATTAGTATATATATAATGTATTGGGATATCATGGGAGATCTGACCAACTATAGTATAATTATAGTTATATAACATTATATAGTTTGATATTATATCTGGTTGGTGGTTTGGAACATGAATTTTATGACTTTCCGTATATTAGGAAGAATCATCCCAACTGACTAATATTTAACTCCGGATTAATAAACCATTGTTTATTAATTGTGGGGGTACCCTCCAAATAGTCACAAGATACATAAATGGTATCCCCCACAATTAAACAGTCTAGGGGTTTATCAAGCCAGGGTTGACATTAATAATGATTAATAATGATTAAACATGGTTAAATATCATCCCACTATCATGAAAACCGTATGATTAAAGTTGTGATACACATATATCATTAATGAGTGAGTACTAATATCTGGTGTTTTTTTCTTGGATGATATTAGTATTTGGTATCATCAATAAGTTGTTTTCCTACTGTAATTTGTGCACTTTTTGAAGATGACCTCACATTTTCTGTTGAAACCAGGGACTGTCCAAGAATCCAAGAATGTGGGTTTACCGTACACCCCACTCATGTTCCCCATGAAGAATCGGAATAAAGTGGGGGAATGCCCCATTTTCAGGCACAGCCACACAACAACATCAACAAAGATGGATAGAGATGGGCTTTCAACCTAGAGGAGATTGTTTTTTTTTCGACTGCAATTAGCATGTCAATTTTGTCTGTCAAAAAACATTCGAGTGGTGGATACCAAACCATCCAGCCGGGAGTAGAAGAGTCGGCAGCTTCCCCAAAGGTGACCACGGCTGACTATTTTTCATCACATTCTCATAGGTCAAATCCGAAGAAAAACCGATTCAAAATCCTGATTTCTCATCTTAAATCCTGTCAGTGCTGCTTCATTCCTCATCAAAGTGCTGGTTTTCCACATTGGTGAAATCCCCATTTTGGTCAGGCCTGCTGCATTGCCGGTGGGCCAGCCCTGTCGGAAGTCGAAACTGCCCTTGCTCCGGCAGGCGTTTGGAAGATGGTGAAGCTTTATTGTCATCCCCAACTTTAAGAAAACTACTGTGGATGGTTTCGAAATCCTGCACCAGTTGTTAGATGGTTTATCCTATTGTTTACAGGGTTTCAACCATCCAAGGTGATGCAGGATTTCTTCCATCCACAGTAGTTCTTAGTTATTGAATGTTATAGATATTTCTTGCAATATCTTGCAATTACTGTATTACTATTGACAATACACCTATACATATATCATAGTTTGTTTTATCTCCGAAATGAATGAATGGATGGTGAAGACACAGAATTATTGGATGGTGAGAACACATGATATATATACTTTTTACATACACGTACAAAAATTCTAACCGTTTGTTACTGTATTACTTCAGTTACTGTATTACTGCAATTTGATTACACGTTTTTTTGATACATGATCTAACATGATTTATGCATTCCCTAGTAATTTTATGATTTTATCTTTTGGGGGATGACCAATGATCAGCCAATTTATCTGGATGATTTGTGTTGCGACCTCACCGGCATGGGCCGTTTCGGAATGAAAGATGGGCCGCACTTTTCAGGTCGGTGAATTTGTATTGAATTATCCAGGTTTTTCGGGGGATAGAACGAACATCATATCAATAATGCAGATTTGCAAGGATGTAACGGGATACATTTCGCCCAATATGATGTTTGGGTTTGTCCCATTTAGATCCATTTGGTGGGGAAGATGATGTTGAAACGGTGGATGTTTTGAGAAAAAACCATATTCGTTGGCGACCTGCTGAGGATGATGTCGTAATGCAGGGTCAATGCAAGCCCAAGAAGTGGTCAAATGCTGCTGTCATTTGAAAGGCACATGACATGTAGGATATGTGGCTGTAAATAGGTGTTGGTACAAACATAGCCATTGACAGGGTTTTGAGGCAAGGAAAAACCATGGCTTTCACCGGGTCAAAGTGATATTTTCTGCAGGAACGACGAGAAGTTTCAGTTATTCCTTCAGAGGGCACCTCAAAATCACCCAAAATTGGTCATCTCCATGAAGGAAAACGTCGGAAACCCATGTTTTTGGGGCCCTGGGGGTCCCCAGTTTTGAGAGATCATCATTTTGCGGGGAGTCCTGGATCTTTTCTGGATTCTGGATCCGTATTTCCATGGTTTTATCCTCCAATTCCAAATTGGTACCTATGGTACCGTAAGGGAATTTGGATCGCCCCAGCATTGCAAGGCCTTGTCCTACTTCCAGCTGGAGCAAGTGAAAGGCAGCGGGAAAGGCCGGGATTCTTCTCGCCGAGTCGGTGGCTTTGATTTTAGTGATCAATGGGGACATAGATTATATACAGATATACCTATATATATATATAGGTTGTTTATATACACAAGATATATTTGCTGATATATTGTATATATGTATACAATATGTATACAATATGTATACAATATGTATACAATATGTATACAGTATGTATACAATATGTATACAATATGTATACAATATGTATACAATATGTATACAATATGTATACAATATGTATACAATATGTATACAATATGCATATAAGTAAAAAATACATGTAATGTATAGATCTTCTATCTGTTTCTATATTCCGCCAGGCACCAAAGGTCGTGCCACCGCCTCTGCGGCCTCCTGGCTCTCACCGCTGGAGCTTCAGGTTCCGCGAGAAGAGGCGCTCCAAGGGAGGGGAAGTGGTTGTATGGTTGTATGGTTAGTATATATAATATAAGTATATATCTATATATTGTATTATGTAGTATATATAATGTATTGTATATAGTTGTATGGTAGATGTAGATTTTTTTGTATGTATAGTGTGTTATATAGAAAATAGAGAAATATATAAGTGTGCAGAGTATATACAGAATATAGAATATAGTATATGCAATATGTGCATATATATGAATTATAAAGTAGATGTAGTATTCACATGTATAATATGTATTGACATGTTCAGTATATACAGTATATACAGTATATACAGTATCTACAGTATATACAGTATCTACAGTATATACAGTATATACAGTATATACAGTATCTACAGTATACATACAGTATATACAGTATACAATATATAGATTACATATAGTATATATAGCACTCCGAAGTGGTGCTTAAACAGCGTTTTCTCTGGGCCGTCTTTTTGGCTGGTCTTAGGGGACCCATCAAACATGGTGGATATGTTGGATATATGGGAAGACATGGGAAGACATGGGAAGATATGGGAAGATATGTTGGATATATGGGAAGATATGGGAATATAGATGGTCGAACTTCAATAAAGATGTGATTATGATGGGAATACACTGGGATATAATATATTGGGGATTTGTTTTTACTAACCCATAGCAGGGGTAAGATAAGGATATGATATTAGCATTTATGGTTTGAAACAAAACATACATGTGGTGAGATAATGGATATTATAACGGATATGATATAGGTACAATATGGTGTTAATATGGTGGAATTTAACCAAGAAAAATGAGGGTATTGATATGCCCACAAGTCATTGGGGATCCCCAAGTCAAAGAAATCCAACAAGGGACTTTTCGATATTTTCCTTTTTCCACAGTACTCCCAAAAAGATATTTAAACAACATATGATATTCCCCTAATGGTAAATTATTTTTATATAATTACCTTTTTTGGTTCTCTCTCTCTCATATATATATATATTTATGCAATCAAATAGAATCAATCCAATGTTCAAGTTGGGTTTGTGTCAAACATTGGGTCCAATACGGCAGATATTAGCACTATTTGATGGCAATTCAATGAGAACATGATGATACGCCATAGATGATATAGGGTAACCACTTTTCAGACATTTTTTTTTCATTTCAGGCTCTCGAAGGGTTCAACCCTTGCAGCAAATGTGATAAATACTACGGTGTGTTTTTCCAGCATGCCACGTGGCGTTGCCTGAAATCGTCATGATTTTGATGTGTATTGTACTTGGCTTCACCTGGATGTTGTCAAATTGGTTCATACTGTAGGCCATTTTAGCACCAGAGATATGAAGTAAGCCATAAGCAGGACCCCTGGTGACACGGTCATCTCGCCTGCGGTACCAATCACCGGGGATGCGAACGAACCCGCTGGTGTCACGGTGTGGTGTCCCCGGTTTTGGTGGTTAAATCAACCACATCTTGGATGAAATCCAATCAAAATCCCTGTTGTCAACTGCCAATGTTACCAACACATACAAATTGAATTGTGGTTTATATATCATTATATATCCCCATTCAAGATTTTCCAACCTCTGCCCATGTTTGCCACTTGAACTGTCATATTGTTCAATATTGTTCATATTCATATATCCCCATGCATGTTGTTGTTTATATTGTTTATATATCCCCATTCATATTGTGCTCACCAACCATTGGGTATTATCACAATGAATTGCCAGTATTGATCACAACCCGGTATGGTATTCCCGTTCTTAACCATCCATATCCCCATTCATAGTGTTTATATATATATATATATCCCCATATATCCCCATGAGTATTGTTGATATTTCCATTGTTTATATGGAGGTTTCCTGAAATGGGGGTACCCCCAGTCACCATCCATTTATAGATAGGGATTTTCCATGAAATAACCCATCCAGCGAGCTTGGGGTACCCCCATTGATGGAAACCCACAATGATCTCCCGGGAGCGATGAACACATCGGTCAGGTATACGAAGCCTCCTCTGACACCAACTCGCCCGTGCGATGGGAAGTGGCTGTGGAGGTGGCTCTGTGAGAGAAAACCAGGCAGAGATTCAGCCAGTTTTCATGGCTATGGTGATTAGCTGATATTTTTCTGGCATTTTTCCAAGATTTCAGATGAATTTCGATGATTTTAGATGACTTCAGCTGGTGTTTGGTGATTTTGGTGGGCTTTTTTCTAGATTTGAGCAGAGTATCGTGCAGTTCATAGGTGATTTAATGTGATCTTCCAGGTTTTCTGCAGTCGTGTGACGGTTGGATCTTGCCAAAATTGGTGCCGCTGGGCTATGTTTCTTCCTGGCTACGTCCAAGACGTGACCTAAGAGGGGCCTTTCCCGCATGGCTGAGATTACGATCATTTTGAAAAGGTTGGATGATGGGATGTCGCTTTGGAAGATGTTTTTGCATGTTTAAAAGCGCTATTCACTCATGATGTTTCCAGATGTTTCTACTACCGTTTGGTTGCGACTCATCCATGTTCCAAAGTGCCGCTCGCTCATTTGGGTGGGACGGTGGACCAAACTGTCTGCCACTATCACTTCCGGCGGCATCAAACTCGTCTCGTGGATCAAAGTTGTGCTGCGGGAGATGGACATGTGTGCCATCAAAACGTGGGTAAAGTCGAGGGATGGTCATCAACCCATAGATTCCCTGGGATGGATGACCATCCCACACATACACCATGTTTTGACCATAGAACCTGTGAAATGCTGGTGGCCCAACAAGGGGATGAGGTGATTACGGGGTAGGGGATCTAAGAAATAGCCATGCAATGCCATGCAAAATTGCTCGTTTGTAGATGATTTACCTATCAACAAGAGGTGGTTTCCGCAGCAACGTTGGATTACCAGAGGGTATAGATAAAGTTTGAAAGGTGTTTTTATTGTATGGCTTCTGTATGGATGAGACACTGCAGATGTCCGGCAGGAAGTGCTTGCAGCTTTTGACTTGAGATATCACGTGTAGCTCGCTTGGGATACCTCCATCAACAACTAAGCTATGCAGCGAAAGAATGCTTCTTTATGGGCTTTCCCATAGGCTTTCCCAGGGATTGCACATGATTGCACTTGAATCCATGAAGAATAACTTCATTTCTTTGATCCTGATCTGGCAATGGGTTAAAGGTTTGAACCAGGAAACCAGAGATTTGTATAGATGTTGGTCACTTCGTGTGGGATTTCCCACCTCACTTAATGGGATCAACCGGATCAACCCAACCGAGTCTCGGCGCCGTCGGTGTTTTCCGATGGCTGGTGCAGCACTTGCGCAGAAGGGCGAACTGCACGTCCTTCTGGTGGGGGAAGCACAGTTCATGGACCGCGTTTTTCGGGCAGAATGGAGCGGGTGGAAGCACCGGCGGAGCCGTTCCAACAAGAGGGGTCAGTGGAATCTACACCAGTAAAAAGGAGCTTTGACAGGAACATGTGATGAATTGAAACCACATTCCACTTGTTTGTCAAGGTCCAACAGCATTCCAAATTCATCCAAATTCTTCCTCTCCAGAGGCCGCTTTCCCCGCCCTGGCGGTGCAGGTGAGACATGGTGAGAGTAGCAACAACCCATTGATGGCTGAGATATTTGGGCCAGTGGCCGGTGAGGTGCGGCACCGAGTGGGTGGTTTCAAACGTGGTTTTTCAAACGTGGCTGGGAAATCCCCGAGCTAAACGGAGTTTATAGCTGGGAAGAACAACAAACTCAATGGGGGAGTTTCCAGCTAGCCACGTTTGAATACCGCAGGGTATGTTTCGTTTTCAAGAACATATGTGTGTGCAATAAGCGCAAGAAACATTATATCAATATCGATATTGAATCCAAGATTGAAGAGGGATGATGATCCTCAGTTGGCTCATATTTTTGGAACAGGTGGCTCAGCCACCAACCAGTCCCAGAATTGAATGACGGGAAATTCTTCAGCAGAGTTATGTTATATATATATATTGTAGAACATGGCTTCATGTTGTGATATATATATATACATAGATCGCATACATATGATTGTATTATATATTTACAACTATGTATATGTATATACATATTCAAATATGTACAACATATTATATATAAGCAAATACACGAAATATTACCACATGTATGTATGTAATGTAATGTAATGTAATGTAATGTAATGTAATGTAATGTATGTATGTATGTATGTATGTATATATAGATACAGGTACATCACCTAATATGTGTATATATATATATATATACACAGAGGTACATCACCTAATATGTGTACATATATACATATATATACACAGTATATATATATATATATACATGTACAACATGGATAAAACCCAAAGCAAAGCCAGAATAGCCGGGTGTCCGCCCTGCGAAGGCCCCAGGTTCTGCGACGCGGAAGTTGGCAGAGCAGCGCTGGCTGCGGGAGCGGAGCACGGATCCAGGGCTGACGCAACGAGGAGAGGAAGTTTTTTTCGATCGGAAGTTGATGAGTTGGTGATTAATGATGAATAATAATGGTTAATGATGGTTAATGATGGTTAATGATGGTTAATGATGGTGATCAAAGTCAGTACCCTCTGGTAAACTAGCATAACTATGGAAAGATCCATCATTTCTAACAGGTAAATCATCTATTTATATGGTCCATTTTAAGCACGAACATTCGATTGAACAATTCAATGAAAATCCTCAGGACTCGGTAAAAAGGGATTATGGAAAGCTGTCAAAGGTTTGAAGAAGAAATTTGTTCCTAATTACATCAAAATGAAAAACATGGATGGCAGACATATCCCTCTGGCCAAACGAGCAGAGACAATAGCGACCCTTTAGAGCACGTTGCAAATACCAACCAAATTGTATATAGCAATGAAGCAAGCGCAGAGAGTTTCACAATCCACGAGATATGTGCAGCCATCAAGGGGGCAAAGCCCAACAAACAGCCTGGTCCTGATGGAATAACCATGGAATTGATAAAATGGTTGGACAATGCCAACCGGCGCCTACTTTTAGACTTATTCAACAGTTGGTGGCATTCGAGAACTGCGCCGTCGGCATTGTTCACTGCCCGAGTTGTACCCATTTTCAAAAAGGGTGATACGGACGCAGCTTCCAACTACAGACCGATTTCTCTACTCAACAGTTTTTATAAAATCTACATGGTTATGATCAGGGCCAGGATGCAATCAGCCACTGAGACATCCCTACCATCCAAGAATGAATAACAGAGGGGGGGGAGGCCCCCCTGTCAATACATTAGGCGCCACTAGACTATACATATATATACATGTGTGTGTTTGGTGTTTCAACACTTCTTCCTCCCCAACCTTGGTCTATTCTACTTTCAATAGATGTAGAATCATAAGTTTTCCGATGAACATTCATCGGCTCCGTGGCCGTTGGGACTCAAAAAGGTGGGGTGATTTTGGGCGGGGCGACTCCACCCGTGGAGTCCCCAGTCGGACTGCGGAAGGGCTGAGGGCTGAAATTTGTTTGGGGCCTGGGTATTTGTTTCAATTTCTTTTCGCCCAGAAATTCTGAAATTCTGCAGAAGCTATAGAAACAGCATGTTCGAACCGCACTGGCGTGGGAGGAAAAAGAAGAAGAGCTTGAAGAAGTGCGCAAACAAGCGCAGTACAATGAACATCAATGAACCCTTGGACACTTGCATCCCAGTGGATTGGAGATGGGAGATGGATCTACAGATAGATAGTAAGCCCAGCTTGGGATGTTTCAAGTACATTAAAGAGTGTTGAAGAAGGAAAAATCCACTAATCAGTTCAGCCATTGGGTCTTTCTCTGTTTGGGGTCCCAGAAAGCCACGATTTTCTCCCAGCCAAAAAGAGCCAAGGCGGACCTCTTTGGAAGTGTCGGATCTTTTCCCAGCGCCGTTCAGGACCGGGGACCCTATCCAACTGGGAAAGATATGATATGGGTGTTTCCATAAATGGAGGTACCCCCAAAAAACTGTATGGTTTATAATGGAATATCTTTTGAACATGGATGATTCAGGTGCACCCCCATTTCAGGAAACCTCCATATGTTGGAAAAGGGATTGAAACATGTTGCATGATGAATGTCGAGATGAAACTGATGGCCTCGGGGCTGACCGGCACGATGAAAACACGAAACAGCTGTCGAATCCGTTCATATCTATGTCAGACTTTTGGAAACCATTGAAAACCATCCAAAACCATACGCAATCAAGGCAATCTGCCAATACGGCAGCGGCCTTCACGACTGGTGGCGTCGCGAACCTGGACACGATGACACGATGACACGATGACGACGACGACAACAACAACAGCAACAACAACAAAACCAACACCAGCAACAGCAACAGCAACAGCAGCAGCTCAACTACAGCACCAACCGTTCCTCGCTGGCAGCCGTGGCGTTCTACAAGCTGTTGATGGTGCCGCAAACGGCGACAAGAGCGGAGATCGCCGCTCGGCCATAAAAGCGGATGGATGGATGAATGATGCTGAATGATTCTGGATGGAGGAAGGAACAGGTCGATGGAAAAAAGAGAGGTAAAAGGTATATCTTCATTAGGCACGGGTCTACAATGATACGCTTGATATCGCTTGATTGCTAGGTTTGAGATTTCCACAAAGGTATTGAGTATTGGACGTAATGGACCTTCTGAGGTCAAAGCGCGGAAAAGCCAGCTGCTTGAATGGCATCCCGACAAGACTGCAGCGCCAGAGGCTGCAGAAGTGACCAGACGCTCGGTGCTAAAGTGCAAATAATTGGAAATATGTCACGTGTAAGTGGGTGAGCTTGGGATCCATGTAGCCAATAACCAACCCCCCTGAGTGTGAGCCTATGGAATGCCTAGCCTTTCTCCCTCTGCAATGCGTTTTTGGTTCGTTTTTAAGGTCAGTCAATAGAGGGCTAAATGCTGGAAGATGGTTGTATCTTTGTTTGGGGCACATGCTTGGTGAGTCTAATGCCTAGCTTCTAAGTTCATAGAGGATTCAAATATTGATGAGGAATGCTTAGAAAATAAGGGTTCCACATACACTATATAGTGGAATAAGGGGTCATTTCATGGATAGAAAGGGGTCATTTCATATAAAACCTTGGTTTTACATTTTATAGAGAAAACACTCTTGGTTATGCATTCTATAGCACCTATTTTCTTTATAAAATGGTTTGTAAATGCCGCTGGGTATCATTGACCGGGGATCAATAATCAGGGATTGGCGCCACTTCAGGAGAACTGAACCTGGCGAAGGAGGTGTTGACGGACCCCGTGAGACGAGCTGCGTATGACTGGGAGGTCCGCATTGGATTGCGCCTCGTCTTGTTCAAAGCAAGTATCAAACCCTGACTCAAGTATCAAACCCAAGCATCAAACCCAGTGGCTATCATTGGATTGCATCTCGTCTTGTTCCAATGGGGCAATCAATCCCAAGGCGCCCGACAGAGTCGCAGTTCAAACCGAAGGCAAGGTCAGCTTCTGTGTTCCTTGGGCGGCACTCCAATCATCTCCAATCATATTTGGAGGCGTAAAAAAATTCAAACATTTAGCACAGACAGTCACACACACTTTTGTCATCATTGCATGTAAAATATTGCAGTAGCTGTTCATTTCAACCTTCAGGGACCTTCAGGATCTTTCAATGTCTTCAACATCATTAAACATTGATTTGCCTATTATGCTTATCTATTTTACTTCTTGGCTGAGGGTGCGAGCGCCAACAAACCCTGCAAATTGGACAGGGCCGCAGACACTTGGACAAAGTGGGACAGGGATAGTATTTTGAGTGAATTATGATTTTTTGAACTCTTCTGATCATGCTCCGAGGGTATTGCTTCTAGGGCCGTTTCCAACCCCAGCCAGATGAGATCAGATGAGTGTTTGATAGGAATAAAACCTTCGAAACTGTTCACAATTGTTTCAAACCATTCGGAAACCATTCGAAACATGTCGAAACAATACATGCAATACTCAATTAAGGCCGCCTGCCGATATGGCAGCTTCGTCCTCGTCAGTTGGTGCTTGTGGAGCCGCGCCGTTCCTTGGATGAAGCGGGGCAATACATGAATAGCGGGGCAGTCCTTGACAGTTTGAATTTTATTTCACATGTGCTTTTAATGTTTTTGTTTTGTGTTGGTGACGATTGTCGGACTCATTTCTTTGAGCGAATGACGATCATTTTTTGGGTGGCCGCGGTACTTATGTCAAACATGTTTCAACCATGCCCGGAACATCCCGGAACCATGTCAAGTTTTCCCCGCCTGCCAGGTGAGGGTTGTTAGATTTTATATAATTAAGAGCCCTTCTCCGTCCTCCTCCGTCCTCCATGCTTCCTCCTCGCCGTGCTCCTTTTCCAGCTCCTGATCGCAGTGGGCACTGCCAGACCTCAACTGCCAGCTCTCAATCAATGTGGGCACTGCTGGAATCTACTGGATCCCCGCCGCCAGCTCTCAATCGCAGACCTCAACCGCCAGTGTCGCCAGCTCTCGATCGCCATGGGCCCTGCCGGACCCCAACCGCCAGGTCACAATCGCAGTGAGCAATGCTGGATGCCAGAAAGAATGTCAGATAGAATTCGTCAGATAGAATGCCAGACAGAATGCCGGATAGAATGCCAGATAGAATGCCAGATAGAATGCCAAATGGTAATGCCAGATAGAATGCCAGAAAGAATGTCAGCAGGAAACCAATGCCAGATAGAGTGCCAGGCAGAATGCCAGATAGAATGCCAGATAGAGTGCCAGAAAGAATGCCAGATAGAATGTCATAAAGAATGTCAGAATATGGTTCAGGTATTTTCAGATATTCGCGACAGTTTATATTTATATAATATGTATTAATATGTGCCATGGTGGGGATCACTCGAAGAAAAGTAGTTTTATTGCAAAAACTGTGCGAGTCTGTTTTGCAGAAGCTACTCCTCGCAGAGCGGATCCATGCGGATCCAGCAGATTCCAGTTCCAGCCAAATTTCAATGTACGTATATTGGTTATTTAATTGATAGGACGGGATGTGTAACCATGTTTTCTGGATCCGGTCGAAACAATACTCAACCGGGGTCACCTGCTTCCTTCGCTCCTGCTGCAGCTTCATTTGGTGCTGGTGGAGCTGCACAGATCCTTGGATAGATCATCCGCAGGGGAAAGTGTTGCAACGGGTTGTCTGTTGGAGTGACCCCCAACTATTTGGAATCGAACTTTGCCGAACTTTGTTGAATAAAGGCTTACAATAAAGGGGTACCCCACATCGTCAGAATTTCTGATTTGCCCATAATTTGTTTCGGGCGTCTGCCGAGTGCTGCAGCCATCTCGCAGTATGTTGGATCCATTCGGATCTCAAGGAAAAGAACAATCAATGGCGACAAACTGACAGCCACTGACAGTAACAATGGATCGAAACATTCTAGTCCAGGGTCTGAGGTCTAATGCATTTTAATGTGGTCTAAGATATATCATGATATATCGATTTTTTTGCGGAAACCTATAACGGCTTCATACTAGGGCATCAAAGTGCACTGAAGAGAAACACATGATGGTATTATGGTCATAATGTGAGCATATCTTGTTGTCTTCGTATTTAACGCATTTTGCTCATGGCACACCGGTCAGTACGACCAGCAGCATGGAAGTGGCTCATGCCTCCGCCAAGTCAATTTGTGGATTTGGATTGCTGGGGCAGGTTTGGAGACTTGTTCAGCCTGTGGACAATTCCCGACGACCTTCAGCTCCAGTGCATGGACTGGGTGCATGTGGCGCCCAACTTGTTGTGGGTTTGGCTGTTGATCAAAGCTCCGATCGCTCGCCTAGCCTTCAGTGAATCATGCAAGATTCAGGCCACACCTTCAGCCCAGGAAATGTGTTTGGAGGCTTTGGATGCTGCAGTGCAAGTGTGGGATCGCTTGCTGGAAGATTCCTGGATGCATGTGGAGTCCATTCAAAAATCTAGCACAAGAAGATTTGAACAAGTGGTGAAAAAAAGATTCTCGAATCACCAAATTTCCAATTATTTATGTGCAGCGGGCCGTTTCTTTTAAAAAAAAGCTAGGTTTGGGCTAGCGTTTTTGTTTGTCCTTCTGATATCTTATTTGTGATTGACTGTTTGGGAAGCGTAAGATGCTTCGGTGAATTCCAACCACTTCCTAGGAATTCTTTTTTCTCAGGAAGTCTGTAGGTTCTTGCGATAAGCAGTCTTGAAGTATGGATGCACAGGTAGCGTTCGCCGAGTGCTGATAAGAAGCATATATTATAGTGTGCTGAAAAACCGAGTGTCACCTATAGGGGGCCACCTTGCTGACAAAAGGGCGCCCACATCCCAACATCAGCGTCATCATTTTCATTGATTCTCTGCACTCGGGTCAGACATCTCTGTCGCATCATATCCAAGTATAGCGGGCCCCATGGAATTGCGATCTTTTTTCGCTTTTGGATGACCAGATCCCATGTGAACATTTGGTTTCATTGAAACTAAGTAACATCACAAGGTACATCCTTTTACAGCTGCAAGCACAGAATAATGCTGATCAGGAAGAACGAATGGACCTGAAGAAAAAACTCCGGGTTCGACACAATGCACACCATCTGCCGCCTGGGGTGAAGAAACTGCTGCAAGATCCTCAAGCCTTGGCTGCTTGGACTTTGCCAGCTCTTGGTGCACTTGCTACGCAGCTTTTCCAGATGTCTGACTGTTACAGTCCCAGCCACAGTTTCGCTATGCAAATACCTCCTGCGGAGGTAGGTGAAGAGTTCCCCGTGTGGTCGAATCCAAACATCGCTGAAATCGCTCGGTACCTGAAGAATTTACCTCTGCCATGCGCGACAAGTATCTCAACTGAAACCACCAATTGTAAGTGCTTTTGGTCGTGACCCCATGCGCCATTCTCCGGAAGTCTCGGGCCGTTGGTATTGCCTACGAAGGTAGTATAAGGTAGTACATGGTAGTATTGTATTTATATATATATACACTATACATACAGTGTGCTTTTTAATATTTTTCCCCGACAGCTTTAAATTCTACTAGATAAGAGAATCACACCCCTCTGTGTGTGAGCAAGGTACAACAGTGGCTGGCTGGCTAGATCAGCTGTTATTCATTTGAGACTGAAACCTGCCTGCTTTACAACCTATGACGATTTGGGCCCACATGAATGGAGCCCGCATCTAGGTGCCCATGACTAAGGATGACAAGACGATGTTGCGGCGTAGATTGCCACAAGGATCTGACAGGTCGCACATGAGCATACACTAGTCACCATTATTGTACATTGGGATACGGAAACTGAATTCGTTTTCGTTGTTTTCTGCCTTTATGATCCCCCTTACCATTTCCACTACTACAAGGGTGAACACGTGCTGGGTACCACTTTGGATTTGGATGTGTATGAGCCACGAACGGACTTCAAAAAATAAAGGTGTGCCATGCACGTAGTAGTTCACCCTCATGCAATGCTTCTTGTAGTGGCTTTTGGCTGTTTGAATTTAGCTCTGGAAAATCGATTAAATTAAATTTTGTAGCCCAGCACGCCTTCTTCTTGTAGCGATGCTCACCCTTTTAGTAGTGGAAATTGTAAGGGGGATGAAAAGAGACCTACAGTCTACTTTTTTGATCTTTTTTTGCAAGACTGTCAAAACGAAAATGGGACAGATTTGGTTTCAACACCAACCAATTGAAATTCAAGTTGTGCCCGTAGATTGTTTTTGTTCGCCCTAGCTCTGATGATTGCAGTTCAAAATATCTGCGCCGTCCTTTAGTCCATTTTTTCTCCAATAGTAAAGTTTCACGCAAATTCACAGAATCCATGTTCAGAGTTCCTTTCAGTCACAAATCACAAAGCACAGATTCGATGCTGGACGTCCTAGCTTTTGCAAGACGCAACACGCAAGACTTCAAACATGTTGCTAGGGGGTTCCCGGGGGATGCTGAGGTCTGACCTTTAACCTTAAATTTTGTAGTGATCGGACATTCCATTGTTTCATCCATCAGCCCCGGAATACCTTTCTTTAGCCAGAGGTTGCGCAATGCACGTGGATAGAAAAGCTTGGTTTTGTAAACTGTTCGCTTGGCACAACTTCACCCCCAGAAAGCACAGGGGGATCCTTTAGGAACCATTGTTTTTTTCATACACGTAAGTTCTGCTGCGATGTCTTGAGGTATGATGTTCCATTCAGCTCTCCAAGGGAAGTTTTGAATCACCCCCTCTGCCCTCGTGTTGTGGTGGAGAATCCGGTTTTGCTGAACATCATGGTTTGCCAGTGCAACAGCACATTGGCGGACCATAGGTCTCTGGATGACGAGTCGTGGATGGACATGATGCAGGTTGCACGAAGCCTTGAACCTTGCCTCGTTCGCTTCCGGGTCGCCCAGGCGAGAGGTGTCATATCCAGGGCCGGTACGGCCAAATCAATATCGAGAAAAAGAACGGCGTCAGATGTGGATTGAAGCCAATTTGCATGATTTTCATGTCTGTTCAGAGGTCAATGTGCAGATGTGCTAGACCGCTTTGGGCCGCCTAAAAAAAGTTGCGGCTCAAGGAAATGCTTTGAAACACTTCCTTATCAATCATACCAATAAAAAAACTCAATCAGCAGATGTGGCCCAGTGTCTCTGTGGCTGCCACCGGCTACAAGCTGCCATCACATCCACCTAGGACTGAAAAGGCCGTCAAAGCTCCACCGCAGTGGCATCACATCTACGCGGCATGCCTGGGACTATCTTATAGGTTACATGGCCAGCCTGAAGCGATCTCAAGCCCAATAGATCTTATATGTTCTAATCCGTCTAACTGAAATACCCTTATTGGTTTCTATGATACTGAGCTGGCAGTTGCATGTCAGAATGGCTATTATTAGTCTCGAACGGAAATTTATCATCTTTGGGATTGGAGACAGCCATCTCAATACCTAGGGCTTTGGGATTTTTTGCCTCAGAAATAACTAGGTAATTGTTTTAGCAAGTCGGTAAATCCAACGACATAACAATAGCACTATATCGCATTACTTGATGTTCCCCAAAGAGGATCTCATAGTAGCAGGTTTTACTTTGTTAAGGTTTGCATACATGCTGTCAGATTTTTTGTAATTCAACAAGAAGGGCAGCTACATGCAGTTAATTGCAGTTACATCAGTGTTGCACCTAAAGGCTAAAGCTATTTCATCGTGGAGATCAAAGGCTGCTGCTTTTCCAAAACGCGGTTTGGAAACCAAAGCTGAGACTGCTGCTCCACCTCCGCTGCTTGGCCCGGACAAAACATGTTTCGATTGACAGACTGGAGATCACAGATCATTGGAATCTTTTCACAGATAGCAGGTTTTACTATGTTAAGGTTTGCATACATGCTGTCAGATTATATGTAATTCAACAAGAAGGATAACTACATGCAGTTAATTGCAGTTACATCAGTGTTATTCAGTGTTGCACCTAAAAGCTAAAGCTTTTTCATCGAGGAGATCAAAGGCTGCTGCCTTTCCAAAAAGCGGTTTGGAACCCAAAGCTGAGACTGCTGCTCCACCTCCACTGCTTGGACCGGACAAAACATGTTTCGATTGACAGACTGGAGATCACAGGTCATTGTAATCTTTCCACAGACAGCAGGTGTTACTATGTTAAGGTTTGCATACGTGCTGTCAGATGTTTTGTAATTCAACAAGAAGGGTAACTACATGCAGTTAATTGCAGTTGCATCAGTGTTGCACCTAAAAGCTGAAGCTTCTTCATCGAGGAGATCAAAGGCTGCTGCTTTTCCAAAACGCGGTTGACAGACTGGAGATCACAGGTCATTGGAATCTTTCCACAGATCTGTGACATTCTGTGACATTCTTGCGCTGCAGGTTCCCGTACCCCTTTTGCAAAGATACATCAAGGCAATCTGCCGATGCAGCAGCAGCAGCTTCTTTCACGACTGGAGTCGCTGGATCTGGTGGCCCCGCACCGTTTCTTGGATGAAGCGGGGCGTTCCCTAAAATTACCTGTTTTGGAGGCAAGATCTATCAGCGTCTTCGGCGACCAGGCAGCTTGTTGAGACCATGGGCTATGGCCTGCCCGAAAGCATTTGATCGGTGGGTCATGGTGGGTCTATTGGGTGAAATTGACAATGAATTTGACATCTAATATTCCGTAAGATATGCATCAACCATGAAATCAAGCATCAGCCACACGATGCAGCCGGGCAGAGGCCGCAACCAACCACACCAACATGGGTACGGACATCGTCATCCGAATCAGTATCTTCGACGGCGACCAAGCAGCTTGTTTGGAATAGCTTGGGAAGGTTTGTTCTCAGCAATGTTGATTGAGAGGGTGATGAGACCATGGGCGATGTCCATCCTAAAACAGTTGGTATCTTGGACTTCGCCCAAATGAAGTTACGAAGCCACATATGGTTACATTTTTTATCGGGTCTTTGAGGGGTATTTGACATATCATATATACCACAACATTTGAGTATGCATCGACCATGAAAGCAAGTGTTGCCCAGACATGTATAGACATGTCCGGACTTCACCAGGATCGATGAAGAGATGCATCCGACTTCACCTCCAGCCGCACCAGCTGCATCAACTGGCGGCCCGCGCAGAGCCTTGGATGACGCCATTTGCCATCATCTGCCATCTTGCGCACAATGTGTTACACGTTTTCTTCAGTCTTTGCTGGATATATGAACAACATTGAACAACTGCATTCCTTTGGGATGATGAAAAGTAGTCATGGGCGTTAGGTAGGATTTGATTAGGATTTGCAGAGAAATGCTCAGATTTTATCCTTAGCTTGGTTACGAGGTAGGGAGTCCCCCAAAAACTAGGTAAGTTTTTTTTTTGAGATGATGTTTGATACAATAAGCGGAACGGCGCAGGAAAACAAGGTCACATCAGGAAGCAGTTTGATGCCGAGTTCAAAAATGTTTAAATGAGCTATAATGAGCTAAGGGGTCTCCGTGATATCTGCCATCATATCGCATACCAAATAAAGTCGTCGCTCATACATGGCATGCTGTGTGTGAATCAGAATCCGTAGCACATCGTAACATTGTTCGGGAATACTTGGAAAATAAAAGCGCAAAATTAATCAAGGTTCACTGCCGATACGGCAGCAGCAGCAGCTGCTTCCACTGGAGATTCAACTGGTGGCATCGCACCGTTCCTTGGAAGAAGCGGGGTGATACTTGAACAATCCTGGCCATGATTACGCCATCATCAGCTATCATCTGGCATTTGTTTCACTATTGTGAACTTTGGGAATTTCTGACGATCAATTTGTTTCGGTCCTCGGTATGACTCGGTATATTTGTTTCAGCAACATCTGGCAACCATGCCCAGAAGTGTTGCAGTGTTGCAGAAGCCGGAAATGTAGAGCAACCGAATCTCTTCATATGTATGTCAAACTATATGGGAAACCGGTTAAAACCATTTGAAAATATTTGAAACCAGTCGAAGACAAAATCAATCAAGGTCCACTGCCGATACCACTGCCGATACGGCAGCAGCTGCTTTCACTGCTGGAGCCTCGGGAGATTCAACTGGTGGCATCGCACCGTTCCTTGGAAGAAGCAGGGTGATACTTGAAAAAACATGGCATATCCTGGCCATGATGACGCTATCTCTTTTGCCATTGTATGGCATCTGTTTTACGATTTGCGACTGAGTGACTGACGATCAACTTGCTTGGTTTCGCTATGCCTCGGTGCTTGTTTCAACAACATCTTGCAACCATACCCAGAAGTGTTGCAGAAGCGGGAAGCAGCAACAGAATCTCTTCAAAACTATATGTCAAACAGTATTGGAACCATTCAAAGCATTCGAAGTCAAAATCAATCAAGGTCCACTGCCGATACGGCAGCCGCTGCTTCCGCTGCTGGAGTCACTGGAGATGCAACTCGTGGCATCACACCGTTCCTTGGAAGAAGCGGGGCGGTTACTTTGGGAATGACGATCAAGTTGCTTCGGTCCTCGGTATGCCTTGGTATTTGCTTCAACATCTTTCATGATTTTTCAATACCCAGAAGTTTTGCAGAAGCTATAGCGCCTGTTCCTTTTCCAGCTGAATCTTTTTCCAGCCGAGGAGGTTTTGGATAGAAAGCACCTGGTATTCACCTAGAACCCGGTTCCTAGCTGTTCGGGACTCATGAAACCAGGGTCATGCAATATCATGCATTTCGAATATGATGAGAAATTACAGCCCCTAGAGACAACACCAATTCCTGTCAAATTACTTAGTATTTGCTTACGGCCCGAAAGCCGGCCCAGCGTTTTTGCGTTTTTTTGCTTTTGGATTATTTCGTGGTGGGGAGGGGGGTGGGGGAGTGGGGTGGGGTTATTAACGTCCTTCTTCTTCGTCCTTCACGACCTTCGTTCTGATCCTTTTTTCTACTTCGTTGCACACACTTCATGTTACCTTGGATACGTCTTCTCTACTTCGTTGCACACACTTCATGTTACGTTGGATACGTCTTCTCTACTTCGTTGCACACACACACACACACTTCATGTTACGTTGGATACGTCTTGTCTAGGGGGTGGGGGGTGGGTCATGGTGGGTCTATTGGGTGAAATTGACAATGAATTTGACATCTAATATTCCGTAAGGTATGCGTCAACCATGAAATCAAGCATCAGCCACACGATGCAGCCTGGCAGAGGCCGCAACCAAACACACCAACATGGGTACGGACATCGTCATCCGAATCAGTATCTTCGACGGCGACCAAACAGCTTGTTTGGAACAGCTTGGGAAGGTTTATTCTCAGCAATGTTGATTGAGAGGGTGATGAGACCATGGGCGATGGCCCATCCTAAAACAGTTGGTATTTTTGACTTAGCCCAAATGAAGTTACGAACTTAGCATGTTCCTTCGGTACGCTCTGGCGTGCGGAACGCGCGTTTTAAAAACTTGCGTTCCGGAACGGCGTTCTGACGGATCCTTTTTTCCAAGAACCCATGGTTCATCAAATTCACCCATCATGACACTTCAGCAAGGCTTCCAGGTTGGTCTGGCTTCTGGCTTATTATCCAACCATCCAAGCATGACTCAACCCTCCGAGTATATGAGACATTGGATCCCAGTTTAACTGTGCACTTTCGAGGCGTCTTTCCGATGGCTTTAGGTGAGACTTCTTTCTCACAAATGAGGTTGGGTCTGAAACCTTTTTTTGGCCAAAAAAAAAGGATTGAGAGCTCCTACAGGCTCAAATGGTGGATGAAGCCACCAGGAAATTGTTAAAAACACCTTCGTGATGTAATTAGCGAATTCTTTTTCCGGGGGGCAAAAAAAGGATCGGCAGGGTTCTGAAGGGTTTAAAGCAACTATCAACCCCCCTGCGTTCGGAACGCGTGTTCCGGAACGCACTTTTTGCGTTCTGCGTTTTGGTCCTGCTAAGGTTACGAAGGAAGATATGGTTACATATTTTATCGGGTCTATGAAGGGTATTTGAAATATCATATATACCACAACAATTTGAGTATGCATCAACCATGAAATCAAGTGTTACCCAGACATGTATAGACATGTCCGGACTTCATCAGGGTCGATGAAGAGATGCATCCGACTTCACCTCCAGCCGCACCAGCTGCGTCAACTGGCGGCGGCCCGCAGAGCCTTGGATAACGCCATTTGCCATCATCTGCCATCTTGCGCACAATGTGTTACACGTTTTCTTCAGTCTTTGCTGGATATATGAACAACATTGAACAACTGCATTCCTTTGGGATGATGAAAAGTAGTCATGGGCGTTAGGTAGGATTGATTAGGATTTGCAGAGAAATGCTCAGATTTTATCCTTAGCTTGGTTACGAGGTAGGGGGTCCTCCAAAAACTAGATAGAATCTTTTTGAGATGATGCTTGATATAATAAGCGGAACGGCGCAGGAAAAAACAAGGGTCACATCGATCATCATGAGAAACTAGTGCTTCCAGAGCCCCTCCCAATTCAAGCCAAATCATAATATTCCATTGGAAACCGCATGTGTTCTACATGTTATCACATGTTTGTCAAACTATATATTTGGAACCTGTTCGCAACCATTAACAATCATGCTCAACCAAGGCAATCTGCCGATACGGCAGCGGCTTCCACAACTGGAGTCACTGGTCCTGCAGCTAGTCGTGCCTCACCGTTCCTCGGACGAAGCGAGGCAATACCTCGACAATCCCGGGCATGATGACGCCATCACACGCCATCATTACAAGCCATTACATGCCATTTGTTTTAACGTTTTTGCATACCAATGCAGAGCGCCTCTGTACTTTGCATACCAATTCTGCCATGAGAAGTGCTCGCAGAAGCTGACCCACGACCAGCAAAGCACAGCAGTTTGGAAGAAATTCAAGGAGATTGCGCCGAACAGGAAGGATGGCTCGAAGGCATTCCGGCGTTTCCTGGGCATTGTGAACAAGGAAGCACCGAAGGCCCTCCCCATTGAAGTTGACGATTGAGGTCTGAATGTAGCAAAGCTTTTTGGGCAAACCCTGCAGTGCGCTCGGTACGAGCGCACATGAAGCAAAGCTTTTTGGGCAAACCCTGCAGGGGCAAATCTGGCACCAGCTTAAGTGGTGCAATATGTTTTTTCTTGCCGTCCAGACATGGTTCTCTGTGAATTTTAGAGATTATACAGATATATAATGTATCTATATATATATATAGTATATTTTATTGCCTTCAAGTTTAAAGCAAATTGTTTAGGTGAGTGTTCATATGTTTCAAGACGGTATCGGAACTACATTTTGTGTAGAAGAGAACTGCTGTCTGGCATGACTTCTGGGTCAGGGGCAGCCCTGCAATTTCAAATTCAGCAGACTGGGGGCAGAAGCTGATGAGAAAGAAACAAGACCTCCAGCAATTTTGAAAGATGTCGAATTTTTATTGAAAAATTCACCTAACAAAACACACACACACAATAACAAAGATCATAACCACGGCACGTAAGGGATGCGATTCGGAACTTGAAAGTGCCTGACTCGAGCTTTACCCCCAAGATCCCCCAAGTATAGCTCCAAACATCGCCTCTGTGACTTGCAGCGTTTGTGTGAAGTGAGGTGCTCTTCGCTGGCGTGCTGGTACGCCATGGGTGCTGGGAAACTTGAGGCCAGATGTTTCGCCTTGGGCGGCCAGCCCTTGAACGTTGGAAGCTGCAAAGTCAGATTCTGTGGATGCCTTGGGAGTGACAAGGGTTGCTCACAAGACACCATTAGCATTCAATTCTGACTCATACAATGACAAATCAATCTTGGGATTTTTTTCGGTTCAGATTGAGAACTCAATTGTGACTCATGACACCGTGAGAAGGTCTTCCAAACCATTCCAAAGCCACCATGAATCTATGCAGGCATACCAGATATCTAAGAATATCTCATTGCAGGACAGTAAGGAGAGAATTCTCTAAATCTTTTAGGTACATTCCATGTGTTTCGCTACAGATTTCAGCTTCGTCTAGTTGTTTTTTGCTTCCCATGGAATGATCAACTGCCGCAGGTTTGCAGTGAACTACTATGCCATGGGGTATACTGTACAGGCGGGGCACGCTCATGGATCTCAACCTGATGCACTTGCTTATTGGTTTGTTTCTGGCCTGAAGCGACCATGTATGGATATATGGTGATGTTTGATATGCATATATACACTTAGTAATTAGACAGGTACTCATGCCTTGTCCGGTAGCAGCAGAAAGTCCTAAAGTTTGCAAGATTTTTTGTTTTCAAATTCCACACCCAACATGGCACAGTTCGCTCATCTGATTAAGGAATAAAAATCCGGCACCAGCCTTTTTTAAAACCTCTCGCCCTCTCACTGCGCCACGGCCTGGAGCTGGCCTTGGAACGGTACAGCTGTGCGGTGGAAGCCATGCAGCGCTTGGCACACAGGCAGATGGGAGATCTACCGATGATATACCAATCGTCATGATATAGAATTATATAGATAGATCCCCCTTATGGCCAGATAGAATGGGTTAACCCAGTCATCAGACGTATAGAATTATATAATAGATATAGATATGTAATGGTCCTTGAAAATGCATATAATATACACCTATAATAATTATGAGCTTTTTATTTGGTGTATGTACAGGCAAATATGTTGATTGGGGTAGTAACATCAACTTATCTCAAAAACCCTCTCTGGCAAATTTGTTGATTGGGGTAGTAACATCAACTTATCGTAAAAAGGGATAAACGCCCGGCACCCTCTCTGGGACATATGTTGTTTGGGGTAGTAAGAACAACTTATCTCAATAAGGGATAAAATCCGGGCATCTCCTCTGGCAAATATGTTGATTCGGGTAGTAACATCAATTCATCTTAATAAGGGATAAAGATTCGGCAGGGTTGAAGCCTCTTAAATGAATTGCACATGAAACTGAAAATATCTGAAGATCATACTCCAACCATTGGGGGATGGTTTTTGTCGTTTTTGTTGGGCAGAAACATTGGTTTTTACAATGTTTTTGCCCGTTGCCTAGGCTTGACGGCTTTGCGCAAAAATGTCAACAACCTCGCAAATAGCATTCCCAATATATCTTGTATGTGATCTTGTACGATATCTCGTTTTCCCATGAATTCCCATGACATAAGCCCGGTGTTTTTCCATGACGCACGCAGCAAAAAAAACACTTTTGGAAATTGTTTTGATGGTGTTCGCATAATCCCAAGCCATGTTCAGGGCTATGTTTGTTGGCCCGAGGCCTGCTGTGGCCACCAAAGCCAGAGAATCGGGTTTGCAAAAAGTTTCCTGCTGCAGCGGTGACAGCAGTTGCGGACATGCTATTGCGTTTCAAATTTCAAGAAAATGTATGGAGAGGGGCCCCTCACGTTTCTCATGGCTGCCAGTGGGGATACTGAGACTTTACTTTCGAAAACCCAGTACGGTTTCAGACCTAACAGATCCACATCGCATGCGATCTATGTGCTTAGACGTATACAGGACTATTCTGAAATTAAGGGGGCCAACCTGAGCATTGCGTTTCTTGATTGGGAAAAGCATTTGATAAGATTCAGCATGACAAACTTATTATCGCTCTGCACCGACTGGGTTTCAATTCGCACTACACAGATGTCATCGCCGATTGTTATAGAACCCCCCAGTTCTTTGTTAAAGATAATTTTGGATGTTCTGACAGGAAGGTTCAATCCTCTGGGATTCGCCAAGGCTGCCCACTATCACCTTTTCTATTTGTTCTTGTCATGACTTGTATTGATTGCGACATACAACAAGCTGTTTCTGCGCATGTCATAAACAACCGAATCCCAGGGGCGGAGTTCGACATGGTGTATTACGCTGATGACACTGTCCTCTTCTCCCGTAGCAACAGAGGTTTAAATGAGTTGCTGCGATATACAGAGCAAATTTCAAAAGGATATGGCCTCTCACTCAACAAAAGTAAGTGTGTTGCAATTGCGATGAACAATGACTTTTGCATCACTTTGGAGATGGTACGCCTTTAGGCAAGGAGTTTGAGGCCATGTATCTTGGAAACGAAATCAATAGGACTGTAAAATATCAAGCACGAAGTATTCAATAAGATGTCCGATGTCAGAAGAACCTGGTTTAAGTTAGATTCTTATTGGAAAGCTACACGGGCAAGTACAGAAGTGGAAATTGATTATTTTTGACGCCATAATTCGGAGTAAGCTTTTATATGGGTTGGAAACCATTCATCTGACGCAGGCCTTGAGTAAATCGTTAGACGCTTTCCAAATGAGAAGCTTGAGAAAGATTCTTCAAAGACCATCGAGTTTTGCAGATCGCCGTTACACAAATCATAAAATATTCGATGAAGCAACCTCGGTTGCATTTCCGACTCGCGGTGATAACAGAAAGATAACTCGGTTTAGTGAGTATCACATGAACAGACGAGCCAAACTACTTGGACACATCCTCAGAAGTAGCAACGACGACGCCATGAGACAAGTGTCTTTCTTACCGCATTCTGCTTCAAGAGTTGACTATGGAAAAAAACGAATCGGAAAACCGAGGCAAAACTGGCTGCATCACACGAAAAGGTTTGTCTACGAGCAAGTTCTCGGATATCATAATTTTGACGAACATACTGATGATAATTGTGTGTATGCAGCTGCCATGGGTAGATCTTTTTAAGCAAGCTCACCTGATTCCTTGATTGCGCCAACGCCCTGCATTGAGTCCGTCCGGACTGGTCGGCGCAGAGTACGGTTGGGAAAATATGTTCCATTTTCAATAGCTACGTTAAATTACCAGAGGGTACTACTTGGTGGTTCGCCCCAGGAATTGTGTTCATCGCGTTTGTGGGTTAGTTCACCCCAAGTAGTTCACTGAACCCTAAAAGATCAGTGAATTACAGTAAGGTGGACTTAGCCACTTACGATTCATGGGGTGAACCACCAAGTGTGCATAGCATGGATTGTACACATGGGCATGTTTTTCATTGTTTTTCCCTATCCATCTATTCATATAAGATACATGCAAAGTAGATATAAGGCAAACACATACACCATTTACTTATTAATATTGATAATCTGCAAGATATTGTCGCAAGTTCTTTGTAGCGGAAGGACTTCGGGAAGCAGAGCATTTGGCGGCCAGCTGCCAGCAAATGCCACCAGGCTGAAGTGAAAGCTGCTGCTTCGACTGGGGCATTTTATGGGGCTTTTAACCACCAACAATTAGGATTCAAACATCAAAAATACATTAACTATGTTCAACTTGTTTTTTTGTTGATTGGGAGTCAACTTTGTCAAAATTTTCGGTGTTTTTTACCATCCAACATTTTGGAGATATTTGATCAAGGATCGTTGGTTGATAGGGGATGGAACTCTCCAGAACACTTTTCAGGAGGATGCTCACATTCCATGAGCTGGGAATCCCCACAAAAATCCCACAATTGTAATGGTTTTTCAATCATATGATTAGGATATAACCATCAACCTCATGGCATTCAGAAGGGATTATTCATGGGACTTGATGATAGTTACCCTCTGGTCATTTGTTACAGTTCGCTATTGAAGCCATGGCACATAGAAATAGTTGATTTACCGTTCTAAAAAAGATTGTGATTTTCCGTTCAGCAACACCTTTGACATATGCGCCCTGGCTTTTGCCAGGTTCTTGGGAAATGCAATTCAAGAATCATGTTATGATCAAATTTCGACCCATTCACACGACTCAAAAGCATATTAGCAGCGTCATAAAACCGATTGAAAAGCCATTACCCTCTGGTAAACTAACATAGCGAACTGGAAAATCACCATTTTTAGTGGGTAAATCAACTATTTCTATACGCCATGGCTTCAATAGCAGCGAACTGTAACAAATGACCAGAAAGTAACTATCATCAAGTCCCATGAATAATCCCTTCTGAATGCCATTAAGTTGATGGTTAAATCCCAATCATTTGATTAACATAGCTATGGAACATCACCATGCTATTAGTGGGTAAATCAACTATTCCTATGGCTATTTTCAACAGCTATGTAACAGTCATTACCAGAGGTTTCCCACTTTGATGGGTGAAATTACCATGAATAATCCCATGAATAATGCCATTATATAAGTTGATGGTTAAATCCCAATCATTTGATTGGTGAAATCACCTCATCCAGATGCTCCAAACGAAGTCGTGACCGATGCTGACCGTGCTGGGGATTCCAAGGCTTCCATCCTCAGTGAAGATCTTCGTGTCGCCATTCCTGCGCACGCGCCCGAGCGAAAGATTCGCAAGGAGAGAACAGGGAATTTTTCGAAGATCCCAAAGATTGAAAATGGGGATCTATTAAATGGATCAAAAGTAATTTTAGATAGATTTACTATATTAATCACAGTTTACTATTTTATTTTGGAAGATTCCACAGTCAAATCATGGTATAAATTGAAGCGAGTCTATCTTTTTTGGGAAATTATAGGTTTCAATTCCCATTTTTTGAAGGTACTCGTGATTTTCGAGCTGAACTCAAAGTTTCCATTTTGTTCACCTCTTGAAGCTTCATCTTATATACACATAATATCTATAGAAAGAGTTCTCCCTCTCTCTCGCTCTCTCTCTCTATATATATAGTCATATAGTATTCTAGAGTCAGTCTACTATATATACAGACAGCCTATATAATATATATAAGTATATATATATATATACACTCAAGAAAGGTCTTCATCATTCTCCGCAGCATTGCTTTTTACAACTTCAGGTTTGCCAAAGACTGCTTCTCGCCCCCTGTGCAGCCGCCAAGGCTACAAACTGCGGCACCATTGGCCAACGCATTAAAGTCCAAGGTCGTGGTACATCCCTTGCTTTACGAGGCGAAATCAATGGCAGTGATGGGGCTATGTGGGGCTGAAAACGCCACTGGAAAAGGCCAGTTATATCAACCATGGTTGAAACAACTTCCGTTTTTGTTGCGGAAAAAAAAGGATTATAAATAGATCCTGGGTAGCTATGGCCCCTAACACAGAAAGAGGCCAAAGCAATTAGTCAATTATACTTCAAAAATCTTTAAATTTCACATCTAAAACTGGTGAGTTTGTAGAGGTCGGTGGCGTCTACGTGGAGTCGGAAGGACAGCGGCACGGGCCCGGGGCGTGCTTGAGCCCCTCGGACATGGACGCTGGGCGCATAAAAGGGCCGGCGGGCGTTTCAGGGCGCGAGGAGAGTTTATTAGTTTAGGAATGTTTCGGATATTTCGGCATAGTTAATGGCATAGTTAAATGTATATATATATATATGTATATATGTATACAGACTGCTACATGGTTGGAATTTACTAGTGTTATACTAACCAGCTACTATGTGTGTGTATATATATATATATACATACATAAAGTATATACGCACTGTGTTGCAGGGTGTCCAAGGTATCAAAGATTGGTCAACTATTTATTGGTGTAAGGCCCGGTGAACTGCTGAGGTTTTAGGGGTGGCTCTACCTCTGGTGAAGCCTTGGTGTGAAGGGAATGTGTCATACCCAGCACAGAAATGTGTATTTTATCCAAGAATAGATATGTTTTCTCGGGTATGAGTCAACTATGAAGATTCCCAAAAACCACAGGTTGGATGAATTTTAGGTATGAAACCATCTAATGTTCGGATACCCAATTTTGACGTAGACCCACGTGGTGAGGAAATGTGAAAGCGTTTGACGTCTTTAATCAATTGTATATATATATATATCAGGAAACAAACACCGATTGATGGGGAACGTCAAACAGTTATACTGCAGTATTTTATACAGGGGACTGAAAGCATTGAAGGCGGAGTTTTCAATGTCTCAACGACTCAGTATTTTATTCAACACACATGATAAGCAAAGGATTTCTAGCTACCATGCAGATCAGCGGCTTGCAAATTTGCCATATAAATGAGAAGATGGGACCAAGAACAACCGGGATGATATTGTACCATGGTAGCATGTGTGTGTATTATATATATACATATATTTATGGATACCATTGAATCCCCTCTGCAGATCCGCCATTGACTAGGTCACAAAAGGCCTTTCCCGATAGTGTGTCTTTAGATGTCTTTAGATGTCGCCGTCATTGGGGCAGAGGAAATTCTCCAGACCAGTTCTTTCCATTAACAAAAACTCAAATCTTTAAGATGGGGACATGTCCATTTGATATATATATATATATGGTATTATATGATATTATATTATATTCCATTTGTAGATCAATCCTGCAGAGTGGCATCAAAGAACTGGGCCACAGCGCTGTTTGTTGAGCCCCGGGTGATATCAAGGGCCAAAGGGTAGGGCGAGACGTGCATCCCATATGTATCTATTTGTGGTGTAGCGATTGGTTACTGTAATAGCCATGGATGCTCTCCCCAGTGAAAAATGGGATAACCTAAGCTGGATGTAGAGATGTGTAGATTCTTTTCTGTTCAACATGCGATAAAGTATGATAAAGAGGGTAGTTTCAAATTCCAGCTTAGATTCATAGCCGGATAGATTTTCGGATAGCAGCAGAGCCTCCAGCCGCTTGACACTGACCCAAACGCCAGGAACGCGACTTCCCTGACTTTGACATCAGCCGTCTACCTGGACCTTCCCACCGAGGTGCAGTTTCCAGCATCAAGATAGAGAATAGAGTCATCAGTCAACTTCAGGTTCCAAAGTTTGGAAATACCACGTTTTGGCCAAGATTTCGTTGAAAGCCATCTTGTACGGGCTTCAGTCCTTTGAGCTGGTTCTGGACCGCATCCTTCTTCCTTCGCCCGTACAGCTGGGTCAGTGGACATTCTTCCGGGCGCGTGGCAAAGAACACCAAGCAATATCACAGTTACACTGGTTGATATGTATTTATTTTGCTGATCTGGCTTTTTTTCTGACCGGTGATTTTTCACGATTTTTCTATGTTTGATTGTTGATCCTTCCATATCTGATTGCTGATCTCCTGAAATTTTCACTTTTGATCCCCAGCCACCAGGCTGGTACCAGGGCGGTTGGGAGACCGATGCTGCGGCGCGGCAGCGGTGTCAGCAACTCCTTTCTTGGCTCCAAAGTTTGCGGGAGGCGGGGAGAGGAGGAATGCCATGGCTGGGTTTTAATGTGTTTTAACTTTTAACCAACAAAAAAAGATAGGGACCCCAGAAAAAAATGGTTTTAACTTCTGACCAACCAAAAATTTAGGATATCATTAGAAACAATCCATACTTGACCATGAACACTTGCATTAAATAGAAGCCATTGGTTTCTTTGAATCTGCCCTGGGGCTCTTCAGATCGTGGCCAGGAACAGCAAAATTCATGGGCCGTGCTGGTCATCCATGGCCATTTGATCGATTTGCTTCTGAAAGCACTTCTTGGAATCGTTCCTCGGACGTCTTAAAGATGTATAGTTAATATGTATGCATATGTAGCCTTCGCGTAGGGAGAGGAACCATAGGGACCATACATTGAAACACGATTCAAAAGTTTCCTCTAAACACAATTTGACAACTGATGCTACGCATTTGGAAGGTCGACATGTTGCTCTTGATTTCGGCTGTGTCTAGATTTTCAACCTCTGACGGATCTCGAAATGTGTCCCGGATGTCTCAGGAGGTATGATGAAATCCCGAATCAGCTCCCTTTGGAAGCAAGATATCAACTGGGACAGTGAAATCATGACCATCATGACGCCGGCGAGGTGGATGACCCAGAGGGAGATCTGGAGAATGAGAATGTCATGGAGCGACGAGTGGCACGGCGTAGCGGCGATGTCATGGGTCAAAGTTGGTTACCCTGTGGGTAACATGACAGGCTGGAACAACTCCTTAACTCCTATTTTACAGGAAATCAGATGATTTTTTCACATTATGGGTTGAGCTGGGAGATTTCCAGCCCAGCTTAGACTATCAGGACTGGGGTACTCCCATGTAGGCCCCAATTTTTGATCATTGGTTCTCTTGAAACAAGATTTCATGCAGATTCCGCAGGTCCTACTGCTATTTGGACTCATCGTCCATGATTGGTTTATTCCCCACGGCTGTGAGAAGCATCCGAACTTGTGCTTTCTCCAAACTTGGATGGTGGCATTCTTGTACTGAAACATATCTAGTATGCAAAACTGCAAAAGACCTTGTAAACTGGTGGTTCCAAAGATTTTGTATGTTCAACCCTAGAGATGGAATCTTTGATGATGATCCCTATTGTTGCTGAAGCACCAGGTGGTCTTCTTCACTCCAAACTGCGCCACGGCACATGTGAGCCTCCGGCCGGATGGCAGTGTGGGGCCTCGCAGGGACTCGCGAATCATCCCATGACTTTGGCTTTTTTGAGGTGTCTGACAGTGGAGGATTTAATGGGTGTATCACCAATGATACTTGGGATAATTGGGTGGGTCTAAACATGGCGGATTCACCAGAATTTTATGGACATTTCAATGTACAATGGGGAAAGTGATGATAAATGATAACTTATCAAAATTTGTGGATATGGTACTCTATTTGCGGAATCATCTGTATCAAGAAAAGAATGCATCACAAGAAAATTCGTTTGCATCAACAAACGGGACGGAGTGCATGCATGAAGGAAGTAAGGCAGCCTAAATAGATGTATACATATATATATATACACAGTAGGTATATATATATATACACGTTATATACAAAAATAAGTGTGTAAATATATCACATAGATTCACATAATATATATATAAATTGATATATGTATAAGTTTATCACTATATAAGTATAAATATATGTTTATGTGTGTATATATATAGAGCATATATACATATATATACTTATATTTATATACTTATATATACTTATATATATACTTATATATATATACTTATATATATACTTATATAGATACTTATATATATATATTTATATATATACTTATATATATACTTATATATATACTTATATATATACTTACATATACTTATATATATATACTTAAATACATACTTATATCTATACTTACATATATATACTTATATATATATGTATACTTATATATATATATACATATATATATACTTATACTTATATATATACTTAAATATATACTGATATATATATATATTTATACATATATATTCACACTTATATATATATACACTTATACATATATATATACACACTTACACATACACACACACATATATATATACATATATACACACTTATACATACACATATATATATACATATACATATACATATAGATGTGTATATATAGTATATGTATATATAAGTATGTATATATAAGTATATATATATATCTACAACTATATATATATATAGACAAGTATGTATATATGTATATATATATGCTTATATAAGTTTAGTGTAGTATGTACAAATAGTCTACTGTATGCTTATTGTATTGTTGATTCCGGTCCATTCCCTATTTCCAGCTGCTTGGGGCCTCGCATTCAAGGTGGCAGTTCGTCACATCGCCCGCGCAGCAAATCTCTGAGTGTCCAAAAGGGGGCACTGGTCAGTGCTGTGGTGATTTCCAGGAGTTTATGGTGATTAATGGTGATTAATGGTGATCAATGGTGATTAATAATGGTTAATGATGGTTAATGATGGTGATTAATGGTGATTAATGATGATTTCACTTACCCTCTGGTAAACTAACATAACAATCGAAAATCACCCTTTTGTATGGGTTCAGCTATAAATGGCCATTTTCAATAGCTATGTTAAATTACCAGAGGGTATATACATACACAGGATATAATTTGTTGGAGTAACAATATCATATATATATATATATAGAGTTATGGAAATATATACATAAATGTCTGAAAGAATGGAACATATATATATATATATATAGATGTATAAACCGCAAATATTGGAATATTACAGCCAATATTTAGTAATTGATGTAGAATGCAGATGTTACGTCCGACAAATCACGGAGATTTCCCAGGTGTAGCGACTGGAGATTTTTCTCCGTATGTCTTGTTGCAGTTTCAAACTGTGGAGTAGTAAACCCCCAAGTGTACACGGTGTGTAGTCAAGTCCCTATGTTTTTTTACTTGAAGTATGCAGAGTTTTGATTGCCAGAGGGTACTCCCACGTGGATATATCTCACTTACTTGGGTCACTAAGTGGTTATATAATGTTATATAGCCATAGTTGTAGGGACCCCTATATCCCAACATATGGAGGTTATCACCCTTGCCATTATGAACCATCTTTAACCACTAGCCATTTGCCATTATAAATCGCCATTAGCCCCATAAAAAACCCATCAAAAATGGTTATACCCTCTGGTAAACTAACATAGCGAACTGGAAAATCACCATTTTGAATGGGCAAATCCACTATTTCTATGGCCATTTTCAATAGCTTTTTGTATATTTACCAGAGGGTTAGTGAAATCATCATTAATCACCATCATTAACCATCATTAACCATTATTAACCACCATTAATCACCATTGATCACCATTAATCACCATTAATCACCTGTAAAACCTCACCCCTGGCCCCCAAGGAACCGCTGACACCCAGCGACGGCATCCCCGCAGGCATCCTTCCACAACGTCCTGAGCGACGGGTCTTGAGGTTCCGGCGCTTTTGTCTTTGGCGATTTAATGGGGTCATATAATGGGATATATACATACATACATACATACAGGCAGGCAGGCAGGCAGGCAGGCAGGCAGACAGACAGACAGACAGACAGACAGACAGCAGACAGACAGACAGAGACAGACAGAGACAGACAGAGACAGACAGAGACAGACAGAGACAGACAGAGACAGACAGAGACAGACAGAGACAGACAGAGACAGACAGAGACAGACAGAGACAGACAGAGACAGACAGAGACAGACAGAGACAGACAGAGACAGACAGAGACAGACAGAGACAGACAGAGACAGACAGAGACAGACAGAGACAGACAGAGACAGACAGAGACAGACAGAGACAGACAGACAGACATACATACATACATATATACATATATATACATATATATATATACATATGTATAAACATATATATATGTATATACATATGTACCTTATTTTCGGACACAACCATTTCCTGATTTGGCAATTTTTCGGAGCTTAGATGCTCCCGTGAATGCCTATTCTGTAACAAGCATAAACAAGACTCAAACAGATAGAAAAGCGAAATAGTCTCCAACATCCTGGAAAATCTGGAAACACTTTTCTATCCTTTGTGATGGTCATTTTTTTCACGTGTTGCCCATCACAGGCCAGCATCAGTTCCCAAGCTGGATCTGACCAAGATGCATCTGGATCATTAAATTCAGCGCGGTGAGGGACTTGGGAGCCTGTGAGCCAGTACATGAAAGTACACCATGATATATATATACACGTAGATATTACATGTATAATGTATTTGTTTACTTATTTGTTTATTTGTTTATTTAAAGTTACAGTATATTTTTTTGTATATTATATATTATATATACATGATCTAGTTAGGGGGATTAAGGGATTCTACGCGCTAGGCCAAGGGCTTTGAAACCAAACCATGGTGTATGCTGCTGCTCGGATTTCGAATACTTCAAAACATGATTCTGGTATGATTACAAATTCTTGAATATCCAATTTGGGTGTATTGGGGTGTATTGGGATATTGACTATCCAATTTGCAACAATCAATATCCAATATGATTCCAATACATTAATATCCAAATTCAGGTGCCATCTCTTTCTATTTCTTGATGGCTCAGGATCTGGGCGGCTCAACCTTTTCGCATTTTTGAACAAAGCACGTTGCGAAAAAACATTGGGGATATCACCCGCCGAAATGGAGATGGCTCAACCACCAACCAATCATCTTGGTATGGCCTAAAATGGATCAACTAGTTGATTCTCCCTTTCATTGGATGGTATTATCCACGGTTTGTTCCCTAAAAAATCTGCGGTTCCCAAAAATCTGCCCTGGGCCTAGAAGATGACCCAAAACCATCTTCCCGGGGGTGTAACTAATGGGAGGAATGGGATTTCCCATGGGAGTTCCCATCAGTTCCCATCAGTTCCTATCAGTTCCATCCGGCGCTTAGGCAAGAGCTCGAAGAGGAATACTCTCAGGCCGAGGCCGGTTTTGTTTTTTTCGGCGCACCGCACCGCAGAGCGACTGAAAAGTTTCGAGTGTTAAAAAACAATCATCCAACGGGGAATCCCGCTACCAACCAGAAAAAATCTTTGGACTTTTTAAGGGCAAATCATGGCTGCCGCTGACGACATAACATGGATCACCAAGGTGATTGATAAAGGGTGCCATGAAAATTGTTAATATTTAAGTATAGTTCAGTTAACTTACCAATAGTTAACTATAGTTCAGTTACCATCTGGTTATGACTAACAGTTTGTCATGGAAAGAACCACCATTTTTAAGAACGGTAAACCATCTATTTCTATGGGCCAGTTTCCATGGCTATGTTAAATAACCAGAGGATAACTGTTATAAGTTGTTGACAAATCAAATCATGGCCAATTTGCCACCTTGTTGGTAGAATTCAGCGTGTTGTTGCATGGTAAATTTACCGTTTTTTTTTCAGGACATCCAGACATGAGCCAAAATTGATTTCCTCCCGCAATCTTACTTCCCCCGAGGCCAGACTTGTTGCTCGTTTCGCAATTTCTACCGGGGTATCAGAAAGCAAAGCGATAGCATTGACGTCCCAAAACGATAACAAGTGGCTGATACAATTTTCTCTTTGTATTCGTCCAGCTTCTCGTTGTAGTTTTTGGCGTGGCAGATTGTTCGAGAGAGAAATGAGATGTGAAGTGGCTACTGCTGTTTCAACATGGCTGTAAACAATATTTATGTGTATACCCATGTATGTTTAAAGACGTGTAACTATGTACACATATTATATATATACATGTTTTGGTTGATAGGCACATCTTTGCTGAAATGCGGTCAAAATTATTTGCAAGCTTAAGCACCATTTGTTGAACTGGAAGCTGGACTATCACAGATGTTAGCTCTTCGCGTGGCAACGGCTGATCCACCTGTGTGTCTGGGCTTTTGCAGCCAGCGCCTAGTGATTTGAGATCCAGCAGACATCCTATGGAGATAGCAGATACCCTGCAGATCATGATGTCTTATATATATATAATCAAGCAGACATCCATTTAAATGCATCCATGTAGTTTCATGCTGTTTTATCACAAGCCATATACAACGGTATGATACGTACCAATATATTCATACCTTTTCACACATATACGTATATATATATGTATAGCATTGTATAGCCATTTATGTATTTAGAATTATTTATACACATAACATATTGGAAGCATTCCAACAATTGAGGGAATTTAACATTTTTTTACCTTGGCCAGGGTGATCCTGATGAGGTCTGCTGCTTGGGAAAGCTGGACTCTTTGTGCTCCCACATTTTTATCTGTTGGGAATTTCTGGTGGTTGTATCTTTGTGGCAATTTCCAATGGATGACTGTTGCACATGACTGGCACATACTGAATTGGCACCCCGATGTTGTTGTTATTTTATTTCTTTGGGAGGATTCCAGATGTTAAGTTGCAACATTCGTACGGAGGGCTTTCCAGGAATCAATGGACTCGGTTCCAAAGAAAGAACTTACGAATTCCAGAGATGTTGTCGAGTTCTGGTTGTCATTCCACTTGACTCATGGAATTGGTTTGACTAATGACCAGTCTTATTGAAACTTCAAAGAAATGGTGGTTGCTTGAGCTCAAAAGACTAAACACAGGTGTCTGAAGTTAAGAAACCTCCAGTTGTCTGGTTTGATTCAATTCCATGGTTGAGTGATATCACCATTCGTGTTGGTTATACAGGTAACACACTTCGATGGGACTTGCCCTCCTCGCCTGATCCCTCTTTAGGAGCAGCAGTATGAGCAATACGAACAATACGCTGCTTGGATCTGCTTGGTCTTGGTCTGGAATGCTGGAATTATATATAATTATATAATGACTATGAATGATTATGGTGCTATTGTTATTATCACTACTGTTATCGCTACCATTACACCAATGAAAACCATCAAACCCCAAAAAACGGGGAAAAAACCCAAAAAAAAAACGGGGAAAAAACAAAAAAAAAACATGCAGCCCTTACTATAGTTAATGCTGTGGCAGACTTCTCTGCAGACTGTTTCGCGGACAACTGAGGCTCCTGGAGAGTATCCCGAGGAGGGTCCGGCCCCCGAAGCATTTGCAGACCACGGTGGGTCAAAACTGCCCATGGGGATTCCAGACTCTAGTCATTCTAGTCATTCTTGGTACCTACACTTTTTACTGGTTGGTGCTTTGGATCATGAACTTTATTTTTCCATATATTGGGAATAATCATCCCGACTGACAAACTCATATTTTTCAGAGGGGTAGGCATACCACCAACCAGTTTGACAATCCAGTGAAATAGAGGTACCCAGTGCCCTGTGAATTGATCAATTGATTCCCGGATATTCCCCGTTTCCTGTCGCGGAGACGGAAAC